TCTTCGGGACCGGCAGAATGAGGTTTACTTGAACATTTCTATTCTGATCATCAAAATTATGCGTATTGATTGTGATAAGCCTATTCTTTCCATGTTAAACAATTTTTCGAAAATTTGCTTGTGAAAACAAATCCAAAGTTTAGAACTTAAGTCTGAATTGCTTCTTTCCAACTTACAAACGTTACAAAAATTGTGGAAGATTTATGAGACCAAAAATTTTAGTAGCAAAAGTTAGTTTAAGTTAGATGGCTGATTCTTCAGCATAGCGAAAGATCACAATTATATCACCTACACTACAGTACTCTGTGCAGAAAGAAGAAAAAAGCCTGTAGTTGGATAACAGCTATCGACAAAACGCTCTTAACTTATCAGCAATCCGCTTAGGTGTTTTATATACATTTTCGCTAATTCAGCTTGATGTTTAAAACAATGAGATCCGAGGTAATCCCACATTGTTCTTGCGCGGAACATTCCAGGAAGAAGTGTTAAGATGATGCTATCTCAACTCCTTCCAGACAACTGAAACACCTGATTCGGTAAGATGACCATCGAAAGGTATACCTTGCTGAGAGAAAAAAGTTGTTTAGATCTCATGCGCTTTACCCAGAGCCAGCAGAGTCGTGTCTAATAACTGCCTGTAGTTGACCAATGCTTGATGAGCTGAAGTGAGGACAGTAGTGAATCACAAATAGCCAACGGTGCTCCTATCCATTCCCTGTGCGCAGTTATTGAGACTGAAATACCATACCTATCCCATCAAGCTCATCAACCTTACAGTTTTCTGCAATGTCGCTGTGACCAGGCACTAAAATTAATATAATCAAAAATTAGCTCGGTGCTATAGAAAGGGGTTCACGAAGTCAAGACTAATTTAGCTGCCCAACAATCGGCGTAGATAGTCACCACTCTGAAAGCGGATGCGCTGCGGAGCTCTAGATCTGCTGCTACTTTTATGACAGTCACCTTCGCTTTGAAGACGCTACATTGTTCAGTATGGCTAATTTCCTCCAATACCTCTTAGTAACTAGTTAAGAGGATTAAAATCCTCCAGCAGTAGCGTATCCACGAGAGAGTCTTTTATACCAAAGTAAAGTAATAACTAATATTACCTTGCTGGGTTCACATACATAAAGAAATTTTTGCCACATAAATCACTCAAGCATTGAACGCCCTAGTTAGAAACTTCACTCAGATTTTAATTTCATTTTAATTGTATTAATAACATTTCGGCAAACTTTTGTTAGTTATGCTTGGGTGTATCGTTACTATGTACAGAGATATTCCAATACTTCTGTCACTCAGTCTCAATCTTATGCAATCCTCTCTTTGGCCCCCTTTGGCATAGTTATGAAGAGATTATAGTAATGGAGACAATATACAAATATACGTATATATATTGCACTCAATATAAGTTAGCACCAGCTAAGTTGAAACCAAAGCTAACACCAACACTATTGCGCTAAGTCAACAATTACAAAGAACTGGGAAATAGCCCAGACGCGCGCTCAGCAAAATTGTCAATATTCAGCAGCGCAATATCCGGCATGCGCCGATCAAAATTCTGGATCGACATAAAAAAGGAATAA